GACCTAACCCAAGTCAAAGTCAAACCTGTTCAGTCAATTCACAATCCTCAACAATTCAATTCAAACAATCAATTTAATTCAATTAACCAATTTAGCCAAATTATAGCATAAACACATATAACGATCCAAACCATTAAATCTATTCTGAATGCTATTAACTTCATAGTACGGACCTGGATTTCGCCGAAATCGAATCGATAGCTCGAATGGAAGGCAAATCAACGAAATCAAACGAACGGGTCAAATCGAGTCAAAATGCGAAATCGACCAATCAATCCGGCGTGGAGGTTAATCTGCCGGCGATATCAACTCGGGGCAGCGGCCGGATGCGGCGACGGTGACGGACGCCGGCGACAGTGGCGGAGCGGCAGCTCGACGGCGATGGGCAGCGACTGGCGGCGCTGCAATCGACGGCGGCGGACGACCGACGAAGGCGAAACAGCGGCGTTGCACTCGACGGCGAGGATGGCCGCTGTGCTAAGAGCGACGGCGGCTGGAGGCGACTGGCGGCGCTGCGCTCGACGGCGAGGTAGGACGCCGGCAGTGGAGGCGACGTCCAGCGCTCGACGTGGCGGCGCTGCAATTCGTCGGCGATGATGGCGGATTTCCGGCGAAGGTGAAACAACATCTGGAGGCTCGGCGACGGCGGCTGGAGGCTTGGCGACGGCGATTGGCTGGGGAAGGGCGACCGGCGATGAGCGGCGACGCCGGCGGCTGGCTGCTCCAATTGGACGGCGACGAGGAGCGGCGGCTTGGCGACGCTGGGCAGCGACTGGCGGCTGCAAGTCGACGGCGAAGAAGGATTGGGCTTCGGACCCAAAATACCTGATTAAATGGTCATAACATGAGCTCCATAACTCCGATTAGCGAGCCGTCTGAACCGACGCGATCACAAAAATATTTCCTACGAGATGACATAAAAGTTGGGCTTAGAATCCAAATTATAATTTTAACCCCTTTTTGGGCCCAATTCGTAATCAACTGCTCTAACAATTTAATTAATTCTTTTGGGCCAGGTTTCGGGGCGTTACAGAGCCTGCCCCTCTTGCCCTCACTGATAAAAGTACTGCTGAAGATAAAATAGTACATGAGAGATGGGAGAGGTGCAACAGAATGGCTCTTGTGCTCATTAAAAATTCCATCAGCATAATCATCAGGGGAGCTATTCCAGATTCATCTAATGCTAAAACATATTTGGCTTCCGTGGAGGAACTATTCAAAGCAACTTCTAAGGCACATGCTAGTACTCTTATTTTGAAGATGGTGACTACAAAATATGACAGGAATAGCGGCATTCGTGAGCACATCATGATGATGAACGACATGGCCTGCAAGCTTAAGGGATTAGACATGGAGATCAGTGAAGGTTTTCTGGTGCACTTCATCATGACTTCTCTTCCTGCATCTTTTGAACCTTTCAAAGGTCAACTACAACACCCAGAAGGTCAAGTGGTCGATGAATGAGTTGATTGCTATGTGTGTACAAGAAGAAGAGCGTCTGAAGCTGGACAAACCTGATGTGGCTTACCTCATGACCGCTAATCCAAAGAAGAGGAAGGGAAATGTCGATAAGAAGGAAGTTTCTAAAGTCCAGAAACGTGATGCAAGTGCTTCTTCCAGCTCTAAGAACTCCAAAGGGAAGTCTTACTGCAAGTTCTGTCGCAAGGAAGGACATAGACAAAAAGACTGCCAAGACTTTAAGGAGTGGCTAACGAAGAAAGGTAATCATCTTTACATGATACTTGAGTCCTTTAATTTAAATGTTCCAACTAATACATGGTGGTTTGACTCTGGTTCTATGGTTCATGTAACCAACTCACTTCAGGGATTCATTACCATCCAGAAGCTGGAAAGAAGCCGAAGAACACTTAAGCTGGAGAATGGAACTGAACTAGCTGTCGAAGCCGTGGGAACCTTAGAATTAATAATGAAAACTGGTTTATGTATTAAACTTTATGATACCTTATATATTCCTAAGATTACTCGGAATTTAGTATCAAGACCAAAGTTAGACATAGACGGTTTTGATGTTTCTCATGGTCATGGCAGACTTACTATTAGTTTCAATTCTCAAGTGTTTGGTCATGGTTTTCTAGATGGTGGTCTCTATAAATTAAAACTAGATGATGATTTTTCCAAATCTTTGTTGTCATATAATATCAATCTGACACTAACAAAGAGAAAAAGGAAACGAGACTTAGAAACTTCATCCATGTTGTGGCATCAACGCTTAGGCCACATTTCACGAGAACGTTTGTCTAGACTCGTGAAGGATGAAGTGTTACCATCTCTCGATTTCAATGATTTTGGAACATGTGTCAAATGCCTTAAAGGTAAAATGACATCAGTGAATAAGAAAGGTGCCACTAGGAGTTCTAATTTATTAGAGCTCATTCACACTGACATTAGTAGTCCTTTGTTGAGTCCAAAAGATTCTTTATTTAATCTCCACTAAATCAGTATTTTTATGAGTTAAAAGGTGCATTTTTACACTTAAATGATCATATTTGCATCCTAGGCATTATTCACAAAATATATTCATAATACACATTTTTAGAGTATATTTAAAATGTTATTTCGTTGGATCCAATATTTTCCTTGACAAGCTGTTTAGATATGTTGTTGGAGCTGAAAAACATGGGCTGAAGATTTTGCAATGGGCCTCCGCAGCAATTTAGAAGAAAAGAAGAAATAAGGTTGTTTTTGGGCTGCACTTTCAATTACCTGACCCGGCCCTCCACTTTACCCGGATGAACCCGTCGTATGAGCCTCAACCATCTCATCGCCTCTCAAGAATGCAAATCAGAGAGAAAAAGAGGCGTGTGAGAGAGTAGCCGAAGACTCCTACTCCTTCTCAATTCAATTCCAGCTGTGTAATACCGGATTAATCGCAGCAAGAAAATAGCGTCAAGAATCCAAATCCAATAAGGAAGAGATCAACCTGGCGCCTATAAAGCGAGGGGGATGCGGCGAAGAACTTCACCACCATATATCGAGAGCAAGAACTCGAGCTCAACGCATAGGGTAATAACCCCAGGGGGGTTCGGATCTTGCATCCGAAACCCTTCCCTTTCTCTGTTTTTTTTTTCTTCTGTTGTGTCAAAGTAGAATTTGTTTTGAATTCTTAATTCCCTTGTTCCCTTCTCAAATTTGTGTTGTTTTGTTTCCTTCAGTTATATGGAACATATTTCCAATTTATTTTTTTCTTAGTTCTGAATTTGTGATGGCTATTTAAAACCAAAGTTTGTTTTCAATTTAATATGGGTTTATGCGTTTACTGCCTTATACTGGCAGTGGATAGCATTATTGATTTTTCATTATGTAACTTTCTAAACATGTTTGGTTTCAATACTGTCCAAGTTCCAGAACAAGTTTGTGTTTTAGAAGCATTCTTTGAGAGTGTTCTTTGTGTTTTTATGTCATCTAAGGTCTGATTTTGTAAAAAATAACATATGAAACCAGAATTTTTGGAAGAAGTATTGAATCTTGTTGCTTAAAATTGAATCTGTCTATGGGTTTAAACTTTTACAACAAGTTTTATAATCTGAAAATAATTCAAGCTTTTGCTACTTTTAAATTAATTCAAAGGTGTTTGAGAACTATTTTTCAATTGATTTTACTTAAGTTGGGTCAAATTAGGATCGCGACCTAATCCAATTTAAAATGATATTCTTTTAAAGTCCAAAGTGCTTTAAATAGCCGAACTTTTCTAGAAGCTAAGTGTCACTTGATTAACCTAGGCCGCCTCGTTAAGTGGTTTTTGCTAATCAAGGTTCTCAAATTGATTTTGTTAAATAACCTTCGTGTTACTGCAAGATTGTTACGGTGATGTTTTCCACAAATCTTAATGCACTATTCTTAGTAGTAATCTAAGGGTTGGTCTTTGGGTTGCTAAGGGTAGTAGGGTTTAGAGTTAGGGTTGGTCCTAACATGAGCTTTTATGAATGGGAAAATAGG